AAAGGAATGAAGTATATTTAGATCCACCTCACCACGTTCAAAACATAACAGCCACCATCTAAAAGAGGTTTAAAACCAAAATTAAGGCTACGTTTTCCTAAGGCATGAATGTTAATTATGTCTCCAAAGAAGCTGGGGTTATGCTGTAAATTAAAATGAAAATGCTTTCCTATTTAAATATGTGCAGTATTTAAGTCTGGGTTTGTTTGCTTGTTTAGGGGCATTTCTGTAATTTTGCCCACCATACAACCCCAAGTTCGGGGATGTCAGTAGAATGCAAAAGCACATGGCAAGCGTGGCACCAGCAGAGAGCTGAATTGCACAGGCAGGTCAGGCCCAACTGCGAACCCCCAGCCTCACTGCCCCCAGCTCCCAACACCCACTGTCCCTGGGTCCCAAGTCTCTCTGTGCGTCCCTCTCATAAACCCTCTCCCCGCTCCCTCAGTTTAACGGCAATCTCCCTCCTCCCCAATCCTCCCCGGCATCCTGATTGTTAGAAGCAGCGACACCAAACTTCCAATACTCTTGTTCTGTTAGGTTACACCCCGAAAGTGCTTTGCACCCTCCTCCCCACCAGAATTTGTCTAATCCACTCCTAAAAATGGATCACACAAAAGTGACCAGAGAGAAGAGATACTTCTCAACAGTCCCAGTGTTGCACGTCTATAGCTTATATTCAGATCGTGGTAAAGCATATATTGTCCAGTCACATGATTTCTGCCCAGCTCACTGCTGTGCCTTGAATGGTAGTGTTCAAGTAAAGCTGGGTTGCAACTTCCCTTCCCTCACTCCCCCCTTCCACACACACATACACACACACACACACACACACACACAAACGAAAGAGAGAGAGAAAAAAGATCTAACACTTGAATTCACTGGTCAGCAAGAAAAAGTTTCTGCATTTGCCTGCCATGGATGAACTTCTGTGAAGTCACTATTGCCACTTCGACCCCAAAAGGAATCTGAGCAGAGGCAACCCTAAATTGTCTAAAGTTATTTCACTCCTGCTCAGCTCAAGGCCTCACACCATCAGAATTATTCCCCTGCTGTATACAGCAGTGCCCCTCTCCTACTTACACAAACACACACACACACACAAATTATTCTCTAATGTTGTAAAAAAGAGAGGAGTACCAGTCCCATAATATAATTGCTGCATTACAAAGAAGTGGCAGGCAAGAATAATAAGATTAGGTGTCAAAAGTGAAATACAGTAGTAGACTAAAAAAAAAAAAAACCCACAGTTCTATGATGGGGGTGTTAATTGAATACAGAGAAAAAAGAAAAGAGAGAGAACAAAAGAGTGTTAAGGAAGCAAAAAAAAAAAAAAAAACAATTTTTTTAACCTCCTTCAGTGATTTGATTTAACTTCAGTGCAGATAATTCACAGAGGAAAATCGGCTGAAAATGCCATAGATAGCTATTATGTTCTAAAATTAAAAACTATTCACAACAATTACAGCTATTCATTGCTATCTATAAATATTCTCCTTAGTAAATGGCACCCAATATTTTTTGTGTGTTTTCCTCATTTTTAAACCTGCATGATTTTTGACACAAAAGTAGAAGAAAAAAAAAAGAAACACTGGGAAATATAAGCAAGGTCTTTTTTAAGAAACGCAGTGTGTTTGCCTTTTTTTGTCTCCTTCTCTTCCAACCCATCAACCCCACTACCACCACATATGTAAAACTCAGCCTACTGCTAATTTGTCAGAAGACAAGTAATGGTTCCTAAAAAAAAAAACCAAGAGAAAATAAGATACCGAGCGGTCCCAAACTCTATATTAAATCCCTCCGTTGCCAGAAGGAGAAAGCAGATGAAAGCCCCTTCTGAAATACACATTGTTGTGGGTCTGGACAAGCTTTTCCTTGCTGTTGTCTGAGATTTGCCGCACGAGCATTTTGCAGGCATTCTTTTTTCCTAGCATTTATTTTAAAAAAGCAAAAGGGTATCAAAATAAAAACTCACCCACACTCTGAGGCAAGAAGATACATGGTGTTTTGTGTTTTTTTTTTTAATATCCTCACAGTAATTTCTGACTTAAATACCTATCAATCAACTGTAATTTAGAAGCTGCTGCCTACTTTGGGTGTTGTGCGCATGCGTTTCTTTCAAGTTCCAAAAGGTTGGTAGGACAGTCTTTGCTAGCATCCCTACTTATTTCTGAGTTTTCCAACTGAAACCATTAACAAAAACAAAAAAACTAAAGGCAGTAAATGAAGGCCATTGCCACGCTCCTCTCAGTCCCGTCTTCCTGACATAAAGACCTAGGTGAGCCCAATGTGTCAACTTCGCATGAGAATGCAAACCAGCAAACGAGCCCACCCTACATCAAGTAAGCTCTACAGTGCTGGAGATGGAAGCGTGGAAATACTCATTTAAAGCAAGGGGGCTTGGAAGTAACAAGAGGAAAAGTCCCATGACAATGAAGTAATGCCTAGAAACTGACCATCCAACAGATCTGGTTACCAGCTCTGTAGCAAGACCGGGGGAAAAAAGCCTCCTGCAACTTTACACTGTATGTGTCTCCAACACATCGACCGCAAGAAAGATATGCTGGCACAGGGACGGGGAGTTGGGCAAATCCTGAGAAACGGAGTAATCATGCTTTAGAATCAAAGGCTTCTTCTCCACACACCCATCATGGGTCCCCTACCTTTAGCACAGAACACTGAACATTCCAGGAGACACTTCTTCCTTTCCCTCACTCCTTCTAAGGTACAAGTGGAAGAAAAACAAGGAAGAAGGCCCCTTTTTTCTTTTCTTTTTTTTTTTTAACTTTCACCCATGGGTGCCCTCTCAACCCAAAACCGAGTGTGTGTGTGTGTGTGTGTGTGTATGCGCGCGCGCACATGCAGATTTCCCCCTTAACACAGGAGCAGGGATCCTTGCCGTTTTCAATTTCCAGGACTTGATCGACTATGTTTTAAATCTAGGATCCTAAAGACAACACACAGAACCTTAACTTAGATTTTTTTTTTAAATCTCCAGACATTAATTCATTGACAGAAAATTTTTAAGAAGCAAAATACACAAGCCAATGATAAATTACACCTTTCAAGTGTGATTTTGACCAATACCACTGCTTCCTATCACCGTAGTTTAGCCAATATGAAGAAGGAAGAAACTCTTTAACACCGGAACCGGATCTCTATTCACACCCACCCACTTTGATCTACTGCCTTAGTAGGTTTTAATTAGAAGACCAGAATTAAACACTTTGGCCACAATATACATTCAGGTGCCCTGATGGGCTTCCTTTTCATTAAAAATCTAATAAAATGTCTTCAAAAATAGAGTCGCCTTAGCCTGGATTATCAAATATGCCTTTACGTCTTGATTTCTACATTTCATGAATCAAGATAGGCAGGAAAGCATACTCGATTAGAGACAAATTTCAACAAACCAAATATTCAAAGTAAATAAGCATCAGAGATCAAAAGAGAAAATGAGAAGGAAGAAAAAAAGGAGAAAAGAAACAAATAGACATGCACTTAGGCTTCCTGCTCTGGCTAAAAGAAAAAAAAACTAACTAAAAAGTGTGACAAACTGGAAAAGCTCTTTGATATTTGTATGCAGCATTCATAAATCTCTTAAAAGGTGTTTCACAGCTAAAATAATGTAATTAACAGCTTTGCAGTAAGGTTAGGCTCTGGCAAGGCAACCTGGAAGTCTGGAAGGTCTGAACATCACTGCTCAGGTGCTTTGTCTAGAATGTTATGCACAACACAAATAACATTCAACAAAGGAGCTGCTGACTAATTTCACATAGATTTCAAGACCCAAGTAATTACAGGTTCCATCAGTGGCCACATCTTGAAACTATTTATTTTTAAAAAGACAAACACAGAGAGCTTTCAAAAAGAAAGCCACCCTGTGTGCCCTCCCCCCCCTTTTTTTATGTGTAACTATCAATGTATATCAACCGGGCATGCAATCATATTTATTGTCACTTTCATTCATGTCATGCCCTTGCTTATATGGTTTAGATATGAATTATTGACTGTTACACTCCTTGTTGTAAAAAATAAATAAATAAATAGGATGGCAGGTACTTTGCACTGCTCTAAAGCGAGCGATCAAGTCAGAGGCCAGCAGGAGCTCCCGCTTTATGTAACCACCCCTCGTTCCTCATCTTTATGCCCTAGTTTCAGATTGCCTTTTCAACTCTTTCTTTTTACAAGGGAGAGATGCACCCACTTTGGAAAATTAAGGCTTAACACAAACAAACACGAGGATGTGGCTAAATGTCCTTCCCAGAGCATCTGTTGTTTAAGAACACCTCTGATTGATGATTGCTATTTTTTAATTGTTGCTTTAAAATTTAAATGCCCTCCTGGGATGTGTTGTAAGTGTGTGAGTCCATGATATGAGGTCTAGAAAGTAGAAAAAAAAAACAACAGAATGAGGGATCTCATGGCATGATATTCTCCTCAACCCATCGCTTCCCCCTGCTATAAAATGACAGGGCACTCAGATACCGGTAACCTGACATTGTATGGCGCTTTCCACAAAGGTATTTGACAACACCGCTGAGAACCTTTAGCCTGCTGCTTGGTACAATCACAAGAAAAAAAGGAAAGGAAACTTTAAACAGTTTAGCCCCCATGCCCAACTCCAAAAAAAAACAAGGGTTTTAAATATGGGCCAAAAAGATTTTCCTCCTGGAAACAGACTTTTACTTTCATATTTTTCCCCCAAAGGCACACATCATTCTATAAATTTCCCTTCAGAACCTCTCTTTGGGCCCCAATTTCAAAGAGGCTGGTAACAGAGACAAGGAAAATAAACCAGTAATGCTTGATAATAACTGTCAAAGAAACTTGGTGCTTTTTCCAGGAAGTAGAGCTACTAGGGCTTCCTATTGGAAACTGCGATCAATCTTGACAGCACTTTTATGCTGAAATTTTAATATTTAAATAATGGGTTTGTCATTGCTGGTTAAGTGAGTCAATTGGCCAAAGAAAATGCTTAAATGTTGGAATCTTAGTCCTACCTGTTTTTTCTTTGATTTCACACAACACATTAAACAAGGCAGGCTTCATTCTGTGGCAGTTTAAAGCATGTTTTCTGCAAGAAAGAAACAACAACATAATAGCTTAGGTGGACTTTCGAGATCAAACTGCTGATAAAGCACAGGGGGGAAAAAATCTGAACATTTAGCCAAAATTATATCCCAAGCATAACTCTGTGGCATGCTTCAATTGTTTTATGACTTAATATAGAGTCCCGCCATAGAAAAAGAAATAATGTTAATTAGCAGGGATAGAGTACGGATTTAACTACAGAACAGAACTAACCTAAATTATGCCCATTTAGGCGGAGTTAGGTTTTTTTTTTTATAAGTAGTTCAATCAAAATGGAATTCTTAAACCAATAATCCTACCCAGGGCAATGAATACGGCAAAGCCAAAAGCATGGGATAACAGTTTCTATAATCTATGCATCCACCAAAGCCTAGGAGCTGTCTGCCTCTCGGTCTGTGTGTGTGTTTTCAAATTTAATTCATCCATGTGTTCGAATTCATTCCGCAGATGCCCCTGTATTCTCATAAACACAAGATGCTTGAAAGGTCTTCTGAGTAGAACTGTCAATTTATAAAATTTCAGTCCCCAAGTTAAAGAGTATGGAAATGTATTGCCAGGGGGCAAACATACCCATATGGGGAATAAATTCATTTCTCTGTGTTCACATTATGCCTCTTGTGTGCACACTGCTTATTTGCAGGTGTTGAAATTCAATTATTTACAATTAGGACCTTGCACCCATTGGGGAAAAAATAAATACAATTCTGCCTTTTGGATTGGTGATTTACCTGGTTCTTGGTGTGTGTTTGTATTCAGAATGCACTTGAGGAACCAAACAATACCTTTCCCTTGATTTTACTATGGAAGCACTTAGCAGAAGGATATTGTTTTGGAAACAAAATCCTGATCATATCAGCTATCAGTGAAGGGAATTCTGTTTACAAACTGAAATTAATGTGCAAAGACAAATGGAAACCCCTGGCACTCCAGACACATGCAATCCTTTAATTCTTGTGAAAGTTAAAAAAAAAAAAAAAATAGACACATCCTCATGAAGAACAGTAACCAGAAGTCTGGTCTACATACTGTACAGCAAAGGAGCAATAAACTCAAAAATTCAAGAGTATCAAAATAAACACATGCATTGTGTCTAAAACATCAATGGTTTACTTTGTAAATAATAAATGTACATGAGAAAGGTATGGCTAAGGAAAGGAAAAACAGATCCAGTATTTGCTAAGTAGAGTTACATTGTTTAACCAAAAAGAAAGCTTAGTGGTGATTGAGTTCTCATGTGGGGTGGGAAAAAAGGTGGAAAATACCTCACTGTATCAAAGACCCCTTTGGGACGCTTTTAAAATAGTTTTCATTAATTGTATTCTTACATAGAGGCCCAAATGGAAAAAACAAACAAAAGCAACAACAACAAAAAGCCCCACACGGCTTCACAGAAATACTGCATTTCCACAGCACATCAATGGGGCTATGGAGAGAGAACAGATTTCCCTCTCCCAAAATTGTGTCTGATCTCTCTCAGCATCTAGGCCACTTTAAGGGGGGACCCGCCAAGCCACGTCTGTCCTCAGTTGTACAAAAAGGAATACGACTCAACATGAGAAAAGTGGTAAATCTCCAGCCTTCCTGGCCCTTTCCACTTCACAAACTTGTTATTAAACCAGTTTACTGGTCTGTCTGAGTTTATTTTTCTGGAACAATGCAATGGAGAAATCTGTTCCAATTCTAAAAGAGATAGCCAGTGGGAAAACTTCCACTTTACGATAATTACTAGCTTCTCTTCAGATAATAAAATTCAAAAAGAGCACCGATTCATTTCTGAAAACTTTCCCCCATTTAAGAAAATCAAGAATAGTTCCAGTCTTTGAACATTTCTAAGTTTTCGAGCCCACATAAACCTCAGTACTTCTGAGTTTACATGCTGCATGTGCTTACTGCTAAAATAAGGGTGTAATTCATAACACCCATGCCTTGAGCTGCTTCTCATTTTCTCAACTCAAATTCCTTATTTCCATAGGACAGAAATACATACAATGACGTCTTTTCCATATAACTAAATCATTTGGGTTATAGGAATTGTGCACATATTAAAAAAAAAAACTACTTCTGAGATTTAACAAAGCAGGGTAATTAACTGTAAAGACATATGTGGTCATTAGATTTTTAAAATTCTTCCTTTCGAGGTCGGCCTTGGGCAAGCTGTTAGTGGGTTGCCACTAACTACATTTTATTCTGAAAGAGAATTTACTGTAAAATCCTAGAGTGGAGAACTGTATACTGGGCAGTGGATTAAGTTGAGAAGCTAAACAGCTTCTTTATTATGTTTCCTTAATAAAGATCTTCCTGTCCTATAGTACTGAAATATATGAAATTCACACATGCCGTCATTTCTATTTATTTGCATTCTAACTGGTCCTGAAAGAAGCATGGGAAAAAGAGCATGCTTGATTTTTGTCCCCCTCAACCCCTTTTTAAAGGACCATACATTCTGTGCCACGGAAGGTTGGTAAACTGACTCAAATTAAGAGACAATAAAGTTAAACTGAATATCTGTGTCACCCAAAACTAACAAATATGCCTCAAAGCAAAATTATGTTTTCCTTCTTTCCATTAGCTTTTTTTGAAACAGAATCAAATGAATGCAAAATATCTTTTGGATAGCTGACAAGTACTGACAAAGAATTAATCTGCTTTTTTATTTAAGGGGACAGAAAGGGGAAAAGATAAAAATTAATTTTAGAGGGGTACGTCAAGAAAGAAAAGCAAAAGTCCCTGAATTAGGTGAGGAGTCACTAAATTTGCAAATAAAGTGTTATTGGGACATTTTATTTTGTAATGTTACGGAGTCCCTCAACAAGAAGGCATGGAATGCTGTTCAAAACTTGACAATTCTGCTCTCTCTGATACTTTTAAAGCAGTAAAAAGTGCCGAGGGCCGCTTTTGGATCGGTTGGCAGTATTTTCGGCGTGCCTGAGTGTTTGTGTGGACATATATGAATATCTCTATATTCACACACACATACACACACACACACATTACACACTCACACACACACACATACACAGAGCCACAGCTCGGCATGGGCGATTACACTTTCGATAACAACGCTCCTTCCAATTTTACTCCTCCGCCATGTAGTTGCTCGTCAAAATGGGAAAAGGAATAACATTTTTAAAAAAGAAAGAGCTGCGCTGCTTCGGTTCCCATTGTTTCCCCCTGCGAGAGGGAGAAAAACAAAAAACCCCAAGAAAGGAAAAGAAAAGCCTCCATCTCACCTGGCCTGCGCCTCATCCAAACTCTGGTCTGTGATGGTCATAATTTGCTGTAAAATGTCTCCAATGTCCTGCTTCCTCCCGCCCTCCCCCTCGGTCCCTCCGGCCCCATCCTGCAAGTGCTGGGACAGGCCGGGGTGCCCGGCCATCCCGACCCCAGCATGGGAATGCATCAGCCTGGGCTGCTCGTCCATCTCCAAAGGCAACGGCAGCCCCCGGCTCTTCCTCTTCTGCTGCTCGGCTCGGCTCCTGGGCAGCACCAAGGCTTTTTATCCTTCAAGCTGGCTTCAGATCCTTTTCAGGATAAACAGGGAAGGGGGAAAAAAGAAGACCAAAAGAAAAAAAAAAATCCCTTTGCCTCTTTTAGAGGCTGGTGGGAGGATGGGGAGTGGGGAGGGGGAGGGGGGCGTGAAGGGGTTGCGGGGTGAGGGTGGGGATAAGGGCTGGTGGGGAAGGGTGTTGACTCCAAAAAGCAAGAAAAATAAACCACCTTCCCACTTGACGAAAAGAAATCAGAGCTGGCTTTTGGCTTTTCAGTCCGGTCTCCTTTGCCTGGCAGAAATGGGCTCCCGGCGCTTAAATCTGTGGCTTAATCCTTTTGCAAATATGCATTGATCGGGAGAAAGGAGAGGAAGGCAGGGGGATTGCAATGCAAACTTTCCCCCCCACCCCCCGCTGCCCCCCACCCCCACTCCGGGCCAGAGTGATCTCAAAGGGGGTGGGCTGTTGCAAAAGCCAGATCTCCCCCGGCCGCGGCGGCAGGCAGAGCACAGGCTCTCTCCTCCTCCGTGTCTCTGCAAACTCCGGCAGCCCCGTCAGCCTCCTGCTTTTGTTTAGCTCAGGCTCAGGACTCCAGAAACACATACAGAAAAACCACAGCCTGCGAGGAGGAGGAGGAGGAGAAGGAGGAGGAGGACGAGAAGGAGGAGAGGGGAGGGGGCGGGGAAGCCGGGAGGCCGGGGGGGTGGGGGGGAGAAGGAGGGAGGAGGGCGCGCGGGCCCCGCCCCCCTGTCCTGATTGGCCGTCGGAGAGAAGACGGGCCCTCCTCCCCCTGCTCGCCTCCCTGCGCCTCCTCCGCGGCCTCCTTCGGCTCCTCCTCGCCCGGCGCCCTGTCAATCAGAGTTCAGAGGTGGGCCGGGAAGGAGGCCGGGCCAGTGCCAAGTCTCCGGTCCTTAAAGGTGCAACGGTACCGGGAGCTCCAGCTCGGTTAATGCCCAGTCTTGTCGCCTGCCCCGCTTAGCTGCCGTCCTTGAGGAGAATGTGGCTCCACTTCAATGCAAACGTATAATATTTACAGAAGAGAACATAGGCGGTGAGAGTCTACCCCCCACTCCTGTTTTCTTTTGCTGTAACACTGCAACTGGAAAACTGGATCCTTGTAAATCCTTAGACCTCAAGGAAACTGTTGAGAGCAAAAGTTTGTCAGCACGAAGTAGTTATGAAGCACAATCGAGCTGCTAATATAACGAACAATGATCTCTAATAAACGGCAAATGTAATAATAGTTTTTTTAAAAAATCACAGCAGAATTCAAAGTAATACCGAACAGTGGCATTTTTGTGGCATGAAAACTAAATTATGAACTATGAAACAAAATAATGTTGAAGAAAAAAAGATTAATAAATAAGTCCACCAAATGAATCTAATTCAACATATCTCTCCCTTCCCCCTGGGGGAAATTAGTTATTTGGCTTAAATACTTTATAAAGAAATGCATTATCACAGTCTGGATCTAGTTTTTAATATAGTCTAATAAGCATTATTAACTGGAATAAGAAACGAACTGACGTTTATTGAATGCCTACTATGCACCAAGTAATTTACATGACTTCTTTTATTTTACACCCCAAGACATCTCTGTGAGCTATGGATTATGATTTTCACTTTACAGAGAGGGAACTCAGAAAGGTTAAATAACTTGTCCAAGTTCCCACAGTTTTTAAGTGTCGAAGCTGAAATTCAAACCTAAGTGTGGCTCTCTACAAAAACCTGGTGTTTCAACTATGCAACCTGCCTGGGTCTACCGGAAATGTGTGAATCACGTAGAAATTAGCTATGTATGCATTGCCCATGTTGTTTGTAAAGAGACTTAAAGTGCTTTAAAAAGTGCTTTAAAAGATACATATTCGAACAAGGTGACTCAAATTGACAATGGGTAGGAAAGAATGAAAAAAGATTTAAATAGAATCGGGGAAAAAACTAGTAAGAAACTCCCAGCTGAAGTCCAATACTATACCTCCAGGTAGATCACAGATTTGCCTCCCATCTTTTCATCAGGCAAGGTGAAATGAGAGATCTGACTGGCTGCGCAGTCACAATGGGCAAAAGATAAAAGGGCAGACGAATTACTTAGGAAAAGTCCAGAATATGATGAAACCTATACTGTTCTAATGTGTAGCCAGCCCTATTCCCAGATGGCAGTATAGCCAAAAGAAATGTGTTGAACCACTGCAAACCTCAGTGTATCCAATTTGCAAAATGGAAGGCAAGCTTGCCAGGTGCTTTGAGATCCTCAAATAAAATGTTATTCTTTTAATCACACCAACCTCCTTCCCAATCATTATCAAAAACAAGTTTGGCATGGGGCACCTGGGTCGCTCAGTGGTTAAGCGTCTGCCTTTGGCTCAGGTCATGACCCCGGGGTCCTGGGATCGAGCCCCGCATCGGGCTCTCTGCTCAGTAGGAAGCCTGCTTCTTCCTCTCCCGCTCTTCCTGCTTGTGTTCCCTCTCTCACTGTGTCTCTCTCTGTCAAATAAATAATAAAATCTTAAAAAAAAAAATGTATGTATGTTTGGCAACATAAGGAGCACTTATGAAAGGATTTCAAAGCAGTTCTTAATAACTTATTGGCATGAGGGCATGCAGTAAGGCGTATTAATGGTAATTATGATGCCATTACTTAATAACAATTGTTTTATTCATATACATACCCTGACTTGTAAACTGGCTTTTTAAATCAACTCTAATAAAAAGTTGAGCACAAAATGATATCCTCAAATTGTATGTCAATCACAGTGAGTATCCCTTACAATGATGAAATGATCCCATCTTCAAGCATGAAAAGAAGTCAACCCAGATCCTAGATGAAATCAGTATGTGAGCAAGTGATTTTAACAGAAAATCTAATAAAAGTTCACCAGGCAACGTATTGAAAAAGGTACCATCGATACCAGAAGGTCATTGTCATCTAGGAACATTCTTTTTGGGGTGATGAAAATGTTCTAAATTTACATAGGGGTGATGGTAGCTCCATTTTGTGTATATATTAAAAACCCGAAATCTCTTTGTACAAAGAATTGTATACTTTATAAGTGTGAATTTTATGGTAATGTGAATTGTATTTCAATAAAGTTTTTTTAAATAAAAAAATTAGGAAAATGAGAAGTGTCCACAATAATAATATTAATGATAGTATTTATTGAGTGTTTGGGGTGCCTGACTGGCCCAGTCGGTAGAGGGTACAATTGCTGATCTTGGGGTCATGAGTTTGAGCCCCACATTGGGTGTAGAGATTACTTAAAAATAAAATCTTTAACAAAAAATATATTGAGTGCTTTAGCATGATTAGGTGTTACAGTTGACCCTTGAACAACGTGGGTTTGAACTGAGCAGGTCCATTTATATGTGGATTTTCTTAATAAATACAGTACAGTAAAGAAATACAGTACAGTACTGTAAATGTATTTTCTCTTATGATTTTCTTTTTTTAAAAGATTTATTTATTTACTTATTTTAGAAAGAGAGAGAGCACAGTGGGGGGATGGGGCAGAGGGAGAGGGAAAGAATCTCCAGCAGACTCCCCACTGAGCATGAAGCCAGCTTGATCCCACCACCCTGAGATCATGACCTGAGCCAAAATCAGGAGTTGGACATTTAACCAATGAGCCACCCGGATGCCCCTTACTTATGATTTTCTTAATTACATTTTCATTTCTCCAGCTTACTTTATTATAAGACTATATATATGATACATATAATAATACATATAGAAAATATGTGTTAATCAACTCTTATGTTATTGGTAAGGCTTCTGGTCAACAGTAGGCTATTAGTAGTTAAGTTTTGGGGAAGCCAAAAGTTATATATGGATTTTCAACTGCACAGGGCATTGGCACCCCTAATCCTCATGTGTTCAAGGGTCAACTGTATACTCAACATACTTTACTGATTTAATCACCACAACTGTCTCATCTCAATACCTATGCTTTTAATTATTACTCTATAGTGTCGCCAAAATATATTTCAATATATATTTAATGCTATAGATGAGATACCATGTCCTAGATGCCTGTGAGGGATGAGAAACAGGGCAGCCCAATTACGGTGATTAGAAGAAAGCTTTGAGTGATCAGTAGAAGCATAGGTATTGGGATTAGACACTTGGGGTGATTAAATTAATAAAGTATGTTGAATATACAGTTGATCCTTAACAGTTGGCTGGGTTAGGGGCTCTTGCTCCCCGTGCAGTCAAAAATCTGCATATAGCTTTTGACTCCCCCAAAACTTAAGTACTAACAGCCTACTGTTGCCCAACATCAAATTTTTGGAGAAGAGAATATACAACAAGGAAGAGGAATTAGGAAAGTGTCAGAAGCAAGGGAAAGGAGAGGCGATTATGAGGAATGTTTTCAAGGAAGAGCCAAAAGAACTTGATCATTGATGTTATGTGGATTGGGGGAGGGATAAAAAATGTTTTCCAGCTTATGTGGGAAGAATTAAATGGTGTTAACAGAATAATAATTCTAACATAGATACAATTTGTTGAGTGCTGATTGTGCTTCAGGCACTGTGTGTACATGACCACTTAATTTTAGTGATGGGGCCCTTCGCTGTAACAACTCTGTGAGATTATAATCTCCATTTTGCAGATGAAGAAACCAAGGTGCCTGGAAGATGAATTACTTCACGAAGTATGGATTTGAAAACTCTCTTATTTGAAATGCATCACAGAGATTAAAGGAAGTTTGAGAGGAAACGCTTCCATAGGTGAAATAGAATAAAAATTAGGATCTTCTATTTTCATTAAGGAACTCCTAGAAGTAGATTCTGAGGAGAAATTTACACGCCTTATGCACTGGGACAAGGGATGGATAATGCTTTTGTGTACCTTCCTTCTCTCAATGGTGCTTCACTTGTAATAGATATTTTTAACACATATGTGTTGAAAGAGTGAAGGATGCTAGTCATCATGCTGTATTTCTTCACAATAATACCAGAAGTCCACTGAATCATGTTTCAAAGACATGAGTGATTATCAGATTTGGTCACTTAGCATAGTCGTTCTCAATGTGATCTTATTCTAATGTTTACAAAGTCATTGCACCATATTTACCTCTGTGTCAAGATTTCGTTTACTCTGAGGATTCTCTTTCAAACTTCATTAGATACCCACTGGTACGTGTTCTCATCTTCATTAAGGGACAAAGAACAGGATGCAAGGAGCCTGGTCCATTCCCCAGCAAAACAAATGGAAAGAGATGGGGCCCCAGCCTGGTCACAGAAATAAATT